GGCAGAGGATATTGATGCTGATTATATGCAGTAGGAGTGGATTTTTCTCATCGCTCGGAGCGCACGAAAGGGAAACCCCTCAAATGTTCGAGGAACATCGTGCGTACTAAGGGAGTATAGGAAGAGGAGGTACGTATTGGATTTGTTTTCGAACCTTCGGAAATTATAAGTTCTTGGAATACTTCCTTGGGCAATAGATTCCAGAGCTTTGCCGATTGATAGACCAACAAGTTCTGATAAGGTGCTGTCCGACAAATTTCGAGGTTGACAACGAGCAAATGTGATAACTGGGCTTGTCGAGTTCTTCCGACTGGGTTTGCTAGTGATGGTACGATGGCAGATATCTCGGGAGAATATTTTTCGTGAAAGTATCTATAGAAGAGTAAGAGGTCGCCCACCTTCCTACGGTGTTCCAATGATGTCAGAGAGTGATTTTGGGATCATCCACCAGGCTAATGGATCTTTTCTGGATGGAATCTGAGAGCATCAGCGTATGTTCGGGTGCTGAACCTCATATGTGTGAAGAGTATTTTACAACAGGCCGTATCTGTGCTTCGTAGACCATGGAAAGCTGTTCAGGTGCACAGTAGCTTCTCCCACGGAACAAAAATCTGTGTGCTTCTCCAACAGCTCCCGTGCTGGTTCTGACTTGGTTATCACAAGAAAGAGTATTGCTGATAGAGAAACCAAGCATTGATAATGTAGACTGGGTGAGAATGATGGTACTTATCAGATATTGTTATATCAGGCATACTGAGTTCAGCATTTTCGAAAAAAATACTGACTTGAGTCTCAAAGGCATCAAATTCAGCTAGGTTATTCGTTCCCCAGGCTGAGATTTTGCAAGATCTCCATTCCTAGAGAGAAATGGCAATTATGAGAGGAAACTCAGTATGGAGAGTACTATCGTCTGCAAAGTTGGGGATATAGCAAGTTGTTACTCACAACTGATCATTGGTATGGAGTCGGAACAATGTTGGTGACAAAATTGATTTTTTTGTTATGCCGAATCCGATGGCAATGATTTCAGATGATACTCTGTTCACCACCAAGTTGAGCAATCTGCCTGAAAGAAAACTTGATAGAAGAGGGCATAGCTGAGGTGGTAAGCCGTATGATGGTATAGTTGGTAAAGGAGTCCTTTGTGCCAAACAGGGTCGAATGCTCTTGATATGTCCAAAGCCACAGCTAGAGATCCTTCATGTTTTCCTAGTCAAGCTTGCTATATATGGGTAACGTAAGCAAGTAGATCTCTAGTTGATCTTTGGTGGCCACAGTCATATTGTCATTGATGCCTCGTCAGTTTTCCAGATATTTGATGATCCCAATTTTTTTTTTCATCGCTTGGAGCGCACGAAAGGGAATCCCTATAATGTTCAAAGAACATCGTGCGTTCCTAGGGAGGATATGGATAAGAGGTAGGTATTGGAATTTTTCTTGAACTCCTGGAGATAATATGTTGTTGGGAATACTTCCTCAGGCAATGAACTCCAGAGCCTAGCCGTTCTATGACTTCCTCCAAAACTTTGGAAATCATTGATGACAGGGCAATAGGCCTGTCGTTGTTCGGTAGGTTCCTATTCCCCTTCATGAAGATTGGTTGGACTCAAGTTATCCTAGTGGATATTGAAAGAGATTCACTAATGCATTTTTCCTCTTGCATTGAATAATCTCCTACTTTCAACAATTGCAAATTGATTCCTGATTTTTTTTGATAGTTTTTCTTGAGCCCTATTCCGAATAAAAAGTAGTTATTCATGTAACAAATGTGTGAAGTGCTAGTATTATATACAATTAGGCAAACACATTGACACGAAACAAATGTGTCGCACTTTTTTCGACAGCTTAATCTAGAATGCGAAATATTACTTTCGCGTTTGAGAATATGAATTCCAATTCCAAGCCGTAGCGAGGCAGAATAACCATTCAAAAGCGTGAACAAGTTCCGCATTCAACACTGAATCTTATAGTCATGTCAAAATGTAACATCATCGTGGTTTCAACCTGTAGCAATGCGTAAGTCGTGCCATTCATTCGGTATTACACTGATAACACTGCATGATCCTAGATGAAACCTTGTTTATAGTGAACTGGCGAAATCGATCTGACTCACCAGTGGCGGACACTGAATATTGTTTTTTTTTTGGATAAAGGTCAATTGTTTCTCAAATTAGGGAAATGAATAAAACATTTCATCCGATATTTTTTTTTTCATTTTTCAAATTGTTTTATTTTAGACAAAAAGATTTAAACAAACCGAATCAGATACAAGACTCAAACAATCGGTTTGTTTTTATATTCCTGCCAAATATAAAAGTTTTCGCAGAGAATTAGAAAATGATCCTAGCAGATATTACCATATGGGCCATCACTCTTAGAGCAATGTTAACCCAGTGAACTATTGTTGGCTTGATATTGGCATGTTCCAATGATGAAGCACAAAAGTGGCCCACTGGCAGGATTATCACCAATACTGGCTGAGTATTACTTCCTTTTATAGCTTATTCATTGTTGGTTCAGTGATGGCTGATTGACGCATCTTCAGTGTATTCCCAATGGGAATTAAATGGTTCATTCTCACACAGAGAACTATGAGGTTATGTAGGGCACATATTATTCCACTCATAATCATAATGATGATGAAAATGATAATACCTACAATAAAACTTCTAGTATTGAGATATATATCCACATCCGCGCTTTGATCGATGAGCCAACAGTTTTCGAATTCCTTTCCTGTTGAATTATATTGTGATTTCCGTAATATCTGGTAATTGGCCAGAACTCAAAAACTTCTCTTCTTTGTTATCTGGAATAACATAGTCGAGAAATTCGAGTAGGCTATGAATCAAACTACATATCATCTCTTCAAAAAGACTCAAGTCCGAAGTGGAAGTTGATTGCTTCTAGGACTGAAACTTCATAGTATATGTATAGTGATATATCAGCACGATTGATGTTCTCGAGAGATAATATCAGTTCATACAATAATTGAATTAGTCATTTCGATCTGATGATATTTAATATCAATGAACTTATACAACTTCATATACAGACTGATTAACGGTGGTTAATCCTAATTCTGAAGCATTCTGTACCTATTTTAATCAAATGTCGATTGATATTTAATAAAAAGTTGGGATAGGAACATTGGAACCTTTTGGAAAAATAGTTTCGACCAAAAAAATCTTAAAGTTTGCAAATCTCGATTTGTCACACCGTACATCTCTGTTATTGTCTCTGCTAGACCCCAAGTATCAAAGATCAATGAAATCAGCTCCTCAGGGAGAATCTGGAAATGAAATAATATACAGTGTGTCCCATTGAAAAAATCAAAGTTATTGCTACTTTTCAATATGAGCGGCAATGTCGCAGCGCTGAAAATAATTCAGGTCGATAGAGCACAACTGATTATCCAAGGCATCAAATTTTCAGAATTATCTCAGGTTACGTTTTTCATAATTTTCCAATGTGCATTCCACCTTGAATCAGCCTGTGTATTCACTTGATCACTACACATCTTTCGCGGGAGGAGAGAAAACAAACGAAATAAAAGACTTATGAAAAACACATCAATCGTCAAATGTCGAGAGAATGATATCATAAAAATCCAGTTGATAGGCTGATGGTCCATATTGTCATTTCTTCGATGATTTTATGACATTGAGGAACCTATATTCTTCATACATCGTTCAAGAAGTACTGTTTCAGTGATCATACTATTTTTCCAGCACAATTCAAGTGCAACATACGTATTATATGATTGAAATATCATGTGCTATTGAATCGTCAGCTATATCGTGTTTGCTGAGTTATCAATAACAATTCGGGGACTTGTGGTATCATGTTAAAATAATACTATCATTTATTTGCTGTTATTAGTAGTATCAAAGTGTGATAACACACGATTTCGATCCCGAAATTGAGTAAAGGAAGCATCATTTTGATTCGAATCAATCATGATTTCAATAATCTTGTCATTCAAAATGATTTGCGTCGATTATTTAAAATCAAAATTACTCTAAATCGGTTGTTCGCATCTACAAAGAATATGTCCTTCTCTGGAAATTGTAAGTGCAATTGATTTTTTCACTAGAAAATGTGATACAGGTACATACAAAAAAGATATAACATTCCAAATGACTGAAAGTATACATGTAGGTGGCGCCATACCTTCTCAGACAGCACCAGATATTCCATGAATATTAATAGAATATCCTTTTTGGATATTGCAAGTATTCATGAACATGCCAGGGATATACATATCATCTATGAAATATTCACTGAATGTGCTGGTGGGGAAAATTTTATATATTCCTGGAATATTACAAAAGGAATATTCCCTATATATTCAGAATGTACCTTTAATATTCTAGGAATATTCAGATAATATTCGAAATAATCCAGGAATATAAATAAATGAATATTCCTTAATATTACATATACATGAATAAAAAGAGCTGACCCAAGATGGGCTCAAACTCGGGAATCAAGTTGAATAATACTGTACATAACAATTCATTGAATCGCGTTGTTCAGAAGCGAATCATAAACACTTCCAGTTCCATATGGGCCCTCAACATCATGTAAGATGATCTCACATCTGAATATTCCTTGAATGTTTCAGAGGCACGTATATATTCTAAGAAATTCAGAATGTCATCTCCACCTGCCTCACGTGTGTGTGGGGTTTGATCTGAAGATGTACTAAAATTTTTGAAAAATTTATTTCCACGCGAAGTATTAAATTCAAAATTTATTCAGACTGAACCTTCGGTGAACGAATACTACTTATCGTAAGAATTTGACTTGGATATCTGTAAAAGAATCGAGCAGAATATGGTGGTGCTTCGAGCATAACGGTCAGTGCATCTACACCTGAATATATGTCACTACTGCCCAAAGAAATTACTGAGTTATTGATTATGTTATTCGAATCATACATCTTCACTTTGAATTTTCTCGATAAAAACTCATGAACTATCATGTTTGTATTTCAGGTGATAGTTCTTTGTACCATCATATCCACGATATGTGCCAGACCCCAGGGAACAAATAATGATCCTCGACTTCCATATATAACCCGATACGATTTTGACAGTGATCATCGGGGCAATTTCATATATAAGTGAGTATATATAATAGTTCGTATTCAATTATCATGATGTGGGCACCTCCGAAGTCGCAATTTTGATTTCAATGAGTAGTTATTGTATTATAATATTTGGATATATATACAGGGTGTATCTGCATAACACCGGAAAAATGCGAGAGATTATTCCTTGTGATATTTCAGGAAATGAAGTTTTCATAAACATTTTGTCTTGCTTTGTTCCCGAGGAACATGGTATTAATATCTTCATGAGATAGTTATTTTTGCATCAAGAGCGCGAAATGCTACTTTGGTGATCGAGATCTGATTTTTCAACGAGGCGTATCCGAGTTAAAAAAATAGTCGAGATGACCAAAGTATTTCGCATTCGAGTTGCAAACAACATTTTTTCTACAAAAGAAAAAATATAGTTCTAAAGTAAGAATATGCTTAGCTTGATATAAAAAATAGTGTTAAACTGGCTTAAAAGACTTCCCCGTAACCTTCCTAGGAATTTGCTTTCGTGCGCTCCAAGAGATAAAACAAAGTTATTGTTGAACATTCAGAAATAAACGATTTCGTAAATGTTCGCTTGATTGAGGACCATAAAGTTGAAATATAAATATTTTATATATTTTACATAACAATGCGAATGCGCGAAGTAGGTACTTCGCGCACTGTTTTACTTCGCGCATTGTTTTGTGCAAGGTATCATGGTAACGTAGGAAACTGAAAAAAAGCGTCACTTCGCAATTTGTTATCAATGCGCGAACCTTGTCATTTTTTGACGTTTGCAGAAAAAATATTTTTTCTATTCATTTCTCAATTGTCTCTTCATTAATTCCGATGAAACGTTATGGATTTGTTGATAGTGATATCATGCTTCCTGTAGTGCAATGAGATTGGGAATAATATTTCCAGTGACGTCACAGTGGATGAATATTTCGATATTCATGGTGAATGTCATTGTACACCACCGGCTTCTCTGAGTTTTATATTTTGATCAGATTGAACATTTGAAATAACAACTTTTTCATCCCCTGTGTGATTTCTATTTCTAGCTCAGTTTTTGAAAGAACGATAAAAATTAGATTCGACTCCAAATTATGATGTAGGTGTTTTCAAGACCTCCATTGAAAGTATTCAATAACCCCAATTAAAATCATTTTGGAATTTTCGGGCTTCCTCAGTCTCTATCCATACTGAATTTTGGCACCATGAAAGCTTAAACAGGGTGGTTATAAATGTAAACAATTGATATTTCTAACTTCAACATCCTGTATCTCATAAACGGAGAAAGGTAGGACACATGTATTCATGAACTTCATTTGCTAGAATGTCACAAGGAAACACCTCTTGGTGTTATTAAGATACACCCCGTATATCAATATACACTGGATTTTATGGAAGAATTGATTCCTTCATTCGTGCAGGAAGACTTCCACGTTGATTATCAAACAACAAAACTAATCAGAATATGGAAAGAGCTCGAAGTCACAGTTCAGTTTGAAAATTCATAAGAGCAGAGATTCGATATGGAATTTCCACTTATTCAAATATTTTAGTAATAAGATGTTGATGAGTCATTGCACTTCTAATACGTTAATAATTGACCGAGTTAGTTTCTGACTGCTTTGCTTCCTCGATGTTATCATTCATAGTATGAGAAACTCATCCATTTCATATTATAATCTTCATGTACAGTTTCTCTGAACTCGACGTTTGATTAACTTTCCTTCTTCATCACAGAATAATGATACTAGAGAAACTGTTGTGAGTTTCACCATCTAATTTTAAATGATAAGAATGTGAGAAACTGAATTTTATGTCTTATTTTGAATTTTTTTTCACTTAAGAACCTGGATATTGATCTCTACCCATACCAACGTTGACAAAAAATATATTGATACTAATATCTTCATTGATTCAAATCAATGAAGAACTTCAGCGTAGGTAATATCATCCGTTTTTATCACTTGGAATCTCATGATGTGCATGATATCATATTTCACAGTTTTCCAACCTTTTATTGATCTACTCACCTGATTCCTTGTGCAATGCATTTTAATATGACTGGTGTTTCGAAATGACCTAGAATTTTTTAAAGACTTTTTTTCGGGGAAATTGTTTATATAAAAATGCATATAAACTTGTGATCATGCTCAGTTTCGAAAAGTAACAGGATGTCAGAATGTAAAGGTTTGTTTTCGTCATTACAGATCAATTTCTTTGCAAGAAATTCGCTATCCAATTCATTATGATGATGTTATTCAAACACGCTCTTCCTAAGAATCAATGAGATATCGTAAAACTCCTGAAACCGCCCAGGCATTTTAAGTGATATGAAATACCTGATAAAATATGCACATTACGTTCAATCAACATACCTTTATACTTTGACAACAACTGACACCTCAACTACCGTAAGATTATTTTAGAGTTTCACAACGTCGTTTCCATCACGAACCAAATTGTTTTCATACTGTAATTGTGTATTAATCTTCCTAAAATATATCAATCGGATGTTTACATTGATGAATACATATTTTCAACAAATTGTATTCGATTTCCTTTGTCATTTGGCAAAATATCTCAAATCTATAAAGAAGGCCATCCAATATGTCCCTTTCATACTTAAATGAATGAATAAAATCTATGTATTAACTAAATACTGTTTGAAGGTTAATCGAGGAGGTGGTACATTCATTATTCCAAATTTTTTGGGATTTTTTCTCCTCGTTTCTATGAAATAAAAATATGAATATTATTTCAATATACGTGTAGTAAGGACAAATCAGATGATTTGCCCCAAAATGTCACTGCGTTTAAAGAATTTTCCTATCAGAGAGCCTGAAAAAAAAATTCACTAGCTTGTCAGTGACAATTTGTATTGAAAAAATTTTTGGAGAAGGAAAATAAAGGTATATAGAAAAAATATCAATTATTGGAAAAGAAGATAACAACCAGAAGAGAAAAATCAAGGAATCTGCTTGCATTCTTCTGAACGGAGACAATAGCATTGCTTCTTGTTCAGTTGATATAGACAGAACATGTTATTCACTACTAAAATCTGAACATGAAAATGGTAAATTCAAGATCGATTAATGAAAACATCCTGTAACTCATTTGATTGCCAACGTCACCAATTGTCATTGAAAACTGAAAAGCTTCAAGACATTATACGACTTCGCTATTGAAATAATCTCTTCTCATGTTGAAAACGGGAGCAGAACCGGTCTCGAAACGTCCAAAGATAAGTGAAAATTTGATATTTTTTCTATATACCTTTATTTCCCTTCTCCAAAAATTATTTCAATACAAATTGTCACTGACACGCTAGTGAATTTTTCTTTCAGGCTCTCTGATAGAAAAATTCTTTAAACGCAGTGACATTTTGGGGCAAATCATCTGATTTGTCCTCACTACACGTATATTGAAATAATATTCATATTTTCATTTTATAGAAACGATGAGAGAAAATCCCAAAAAATTCGGAATAATGTATGTATTAACTCCCGGACGCGTATGGGCGAGTATGTAATTCCATATCCTTATCATATTCAGCGTATCCAAACTCTTACGCTACGTTACTTCCACTCATGAATTGAATTTCTCCATATTCAAGAAATAGTTTCATGAATTTCCATAACAAGCACATTTATTTGAGCGCAAGAAAACTCCCATGCGTTAATGAACATTATTCCCCAACACACATTCATTTTCATGCATGGGTAAACATAATTGAGGATTATTCAATTGGTCCCATTTTTCTTCATGACTCTTGGATAGAGAGGCTAAATGGGTTTTTTCGAAACTTCAGCTTTTATGCACCATACGTGGCATATTCTCAACGATAGATAGGCATTGGAGACACACAGCATTGGCTTGAGCGGTCAACGTCGCTTTCATCTCTCGAGAGACAACTGGAATCACTGGTTTATGCTAGCTCCATAGAAAACGGGAAAACTCTTCTGGAAAATGTCGACGGGTACGGAATCCGCCCATGGAAATAGCCAAAGCTTGTATTACCTACCTACTATTGGGGGTGGTTAATTGTTGAAATAGTTGTTTTGTTGAATTTCCATATGTCTATGTTCGAATATATTCTCCACAAACTTCGATCTCTAGACTTCCCCATTGAATAAATTGACGTAAAATAACTCGAATTGCTGAGCAGTTTGAATGTTGCTCAGATGTGAAGAAGTCTGTCCGGGTGAACTGCGTATGGAATGTGATGAAAATAACTGAAGTTGTGAAGGAACTTATGACGAGAACCAATTAATCGAGATTAAATATTCTCAGATGGACTATGAACTCGAAGAAATTCATATATATATATATATTGTTCGTCGTGGTATATATTCAGGAAAGTACTTGTTTTCTGTTCAATGAACAGAGAAAGAATTGTTATTTCTATCACGTGGAGAATGCGTATTCCAAATGTATCTCCTTATATTTGTATCTATTTCTCCATGTTCAAAATTTATATGAAAATATTCCTCTCCAACACTTTCACACCATCAAGGTTCTCGAACTTGAACGATGGCCACTCGTTATTTTAATAGACCTTCAATCGCAGATTCAGGATCTGGTTTCCTCAACTCGGAATTCCTTTTCACGTCCTGTATGATGAATATCAATTTATTATACATTCAAAAACAGAAACCAATCGAGTATTGAATAATTCTAATAATATCACCTGTTATTTCATGAACATCAAGTTTCGGGAAATAGTGCAATAAGTGTGGAGAAACGCTCGAACAGGCTGATTTAGATTGCGAAGGGTACACACAGAAGAATGTGTCTACTTTCAGAATCATAATCGAGCGTTCTTTCAAATATATTATATTATTAATCGATACCTCTATGTGAATTTCTCAATGAGTCACCTTGTTCTGAAAATCTCGAAAATAATCACCTCCACCATTGGTTAGAAGGTAAAGCTCCTTTAGTTTCCATGAAGAGTGCCAAAACTTCACTGTCAAAGAAGTCAAAATCACATATTCACTTCCGATCACATTCTCAACAGACGAACT